ATTTTCTTGTAGTTTTCCTCAAAGTCTTTGGTGATGTATTTCCATGGATTCAATTGTTAGCGCTGCCTTTACACTTCAGATTTTACTGATTCATGTGCTATTTATTTCTTAGTTGGCTGAGTTAAAAGTTTGCCAATTTTATTTATGTTTCAGAAAAAAAATCATTGAATTTTTTTCCATATATTTATTTCTTACATACATGACAATAGTGGAGTGCATTTTTTATTATTGTTTTATTCCCTTCTGTTTAGAGACGTCATCTTATCCCAATTAGAATTGTCATTTTCAAATGGTCAAAAAATAACAAATATTGATGAAGCTGTGGAGAAAAGGGAACTTTTGTGTCATATTTGGGAGAGTATACATGAATATAGTTTTAATGAATAGCAGTATGTAAGTTTCCCCAAAAGGTATAAATAACTACTGTATGATCCAGCTACTCTTTTTGTGGGTATGTATCCAAAGGTAATGACACAAGCAGATCAAATATACAGCTGAACACTCACGTTTAATATGACACTATTCAGAATACCTAAGAAATAGAATCAGCCCTGATGCCCATCCACACGTGAATGAATATAGAGATGGGGTATATACCCACAATAGAATGTTATTCAGACATTAAAACAGTGATGTCCTATTACATGAAGCAAAAAGAGTGGAACTAGAAATCATTATTATCAGCTGTATATTTTAAAGAGGGAGAAGAGAGAACATAAGAGAGTGATAGAGAGCAAAAGTCAAGGACAAGATATAGTCCAAAACCATGTCTCTGTTTACCTACTACCTCCAGCCACAGCCTACCTGCTTGTTGTTACTACCTAGGATTCCATTTAAATTATTAATCGATCAAATAGATTAATTCACTATTGAGTTTATAGCTCTCATAATCTAATAATTTCACCTCTGAACATTTTCTGCATTGTCTAACACATGAGCTCTTTGGGGGTACATTTTTAGATCCAAACCATGTTATAGTTTAATATTTAATTTTCATAAATATTTAATTATCTTATACAAAGACTATGCATTCCTTGTTTGATATATAGCTTTGTCTATGCCTTTATATAGTTTTAACTTGTCCTTGAGATCTTTTATTTTATTTCTACTTAGTGCCAGCTTTACCTATCAGTATTAGAGACGAGGATATTGAAAACTTCCACTTTGAAGGTGAATTCATTTGTTTCCTCAGGTGAGTTTATTTAACATTGTTCCATATATCTTGGTGCTATATTATTAACCAAACATATCAGTCAACGTTGCACAATGAGAGAGAAGTGGAAAATGCTATAAATTAACAGGAGTGTAGTAAGAGTCTATTTTCAAGATGTGCACAGCTATAGGAAACAGCCCAGGAAGGTGTGATATCCTGGGGCTACTAAGGGTTTGCTATGCTAATGACAGTACAGTGATTATTCAGAAAGGTGAGGAGACGTGAAAGGAGTGATATAAAAATTGCAAAAAAAATATGTCTGTAGAAGGACCTTGCATAGATATATGAGGATGGTTTGCCATGAACTAAAGGCTGTGATTTATATAACCTGTTCCCTTAGAGTCTACTGATTCTTCTTTTCCTCTTTTTTTCAAGGGGGATGAAAGACAGAACATAGCAAAAGAGAAACAAATAAAAATAAGGAAAGTATTTACTATATATTTTACAAAAATATACTTAATCAGTATTCAAATACTGCTAATTATTAACATAGAAGAGTGAACATGGGTTCTAAACTTCCAAAGGGCATAATTAAATGTTGAGTAACTATTTTAAAGTGTTTTTGTAATAGCAATGACTCTGAGGATAATATTGATGAGAATATATTAATGCTCTTATGATAGTTTCTTGGCTCATTGATAGAATAAGGTGATAAAGAATTTACAGTTTATTAAGTGTGTATTACATGACATCAGTGAGTTTGGACTTTAAGGAAATTATTCTCGTTGAGAGGGTGAAATTTTCACTTTATCAATGCTATAACATTAAAGAATCACTCATGTCAAGACTCTAAAGAGAAATAAAAGAAAGCCTTAAAGTTATCTGTATGAACACTTTAACCTTACTGGCTTTATTTTTACAAATATAACTATACAGGCTTTTTTATTTTCGGGAAAAAATTAAATGCCTATGGGAGTTTTTCCCTCTGGTCCATCTTAAGTCTTTTATTTCAAAGTATTCCCAGTAATGCAGCCCTAAAAGCTTCTTGTGCATTGAAGATCCAAAAGGGGAGATAGCTGGTGTCTATATCAATTTGCTGTTTCATGTTACAGAGAAAGGTAATAAGAATCAGCCTGAAGAACAACCTTGACATAGCAGAGAAATATAAAATAAGAGACAATATTAGCATAGATTTTTTTAAAATGGGAAAAATCTTTGAGGTTTTAGACATCTATTTACATAAAATTTGATTTTAGTAAATATTAATTTTAATTTTTAATTCTTCTGGAATATTTTAAATGGTAGTACTTTTTTAAGAAAAGACACTCAGGAAAAGCTGGATGATAATTTGAAGACAAATTCATTTGAGGGAAAAGTAAAAAACCTTTGATTTTGTGATATGACCAGTATTATAAAAATATGATGTTTTGAAACATACAAATACTGATTAGATGTAGACTTTTCTATTTGAATTTTGTTATAATATTTCTATTGGCAAGCAGAGGAAACAATATAATAGCATATATCTCATTGGGCCATCGTGAATATATAATAGATAAATAAATAAAAATTTTAATACTATGCCCAAAACATATTAATAATTATGGTACATATACATTTTGTGTCAAATGATTAAGTCTACTACTTTCTATTTCACATATTTTTCATTGTTAAAAATACGATGACTAATTACACAGAAAAACATATAAAATCATTTCACATATTCTCTGGACCTTAGACATGCATCCATTTCTGAAGAATGACAATTCAATGGGATTTTCTCTTTTTTTGGCAAATAGAAATTGACATATTTTTGTGAACAGTTTTGCATAGGAACCTTTCTCCAAAAATTTACATAGTAAAGGAGAGACTTTTGGAAAATAGGCTTAAAGTAAAAGGTATGTGATCAAATGAGCTCAAAATTGTTCACTCCTATACCCTTGTGTTTCAATGAGAGAGAGAGAGAGAGAGAGACAGACAGCGAGAGAGAGAGAGAGAGAGAGAGAGAGAGAGAGAGATCTTAGAGGCAGACACAAAGACATTAAAAGCTTTTAGTATTGTAAGAACAGAAAGGTTTTACAAACAGAAAGAGAATGGTGGATGTTGCAACATGAGGTGGCTTTTCCAGACGGCTCCTAAAACTGCTCTGGGAACTGCTTTGAAGCATCTTTGTCCACATAGTTCTATAATATCCTAAGTGATATCCTCTCTTTGTAACTAGGACAATCCTGGATCAACGTTAAAAAGTATTGGTGCTTTTGTCAATATCAGGGAAATATTTTGAAGCAAGATTTCCACTATATACAGTTTTAATTTTGTACTTTTTTTTTACAGTTTTGTTCCATAGTTTGAATGAAAAATTATCCAGAAATTCTTTTGTCTTTCAACTGACATTTTTTCCCACAAAATTTGAATTTGAAATGAGCACAGCAACACTCACATTTTTCTGTGTACTTAACATATGTTTAAAATGTATAATTCAACACTTTTCTCTGTGGCAGACAAAATCTACAATAGGTGGAAACATCATGATAAAATATTGATGCTCATTTCCTTTTACAAGAGTTTGCTCCTCTGAAAAAGACTTCAGAGTGTAGGGCTGTTCTATGGACTTGTTAAGTTGTATTATATTTTATTACATGAACTCATCTCTCTGCTTAATGAGCAGAGCTTCCAAGAGGGCACTTACTGTCATGCTTCATTATGAAGGGACCTACCCATGATAGCAGAATGGTCCCTCACTGTTTCCACTGAGAGATTACAGAGTCTGAAACAAAGAATGGTTTGCTGATGAGGATATTGAGATCTTGGTTAAAGGTGATAGTTAGGATGTATTTTCTGTCTGTTCACAGATTCATGGTATCAGAATAGCTGCAGTGCTCTGAACTTATGATTAAATAAGCAAGGTACATGAGGTTCTTGAAACTGTTGTCAGAAGACTACAAGATTTCTAAAATGTTTCTAATGCATTAGCAGTAACCTCTAAAAGATGACTTCAGAATTCTTAGAAAAAAGGTAAGTTTTCATACAATAATGCACTGTGTCCCTCTATTTAGATGTTTAACATTGCTGCCCAGAGTTCTTTATTTCCAGCATCTCCATTTAGTGAGCTTTGACCAAACATACTACAGAAAGGCACTGAAGCTATTATAAGGCTATTTTTCTACGAAAATATTCTATAGTATGATTAAATGTCTTGCATATTTAAAAAATAAATCTTAATTCTACTGGATTTATAAATTAACAGTGAGATGAAAGCTACAAAGTAATAGGAAATGAATATCAAATTTTATGGATAAATTCTATGTAAAATATAGAAGGAAATCTTTCTTACTATTATAGAGTTAAAAAATAACAGAGATAATGAAAGACCCCCTGTTTTTTACAGGAGTGTAAACAGCTGCAATTCCATTTGATCTATGGAAAATGTTGCACAGCTCTAAGACGCATGGAATCTGGCATCAGATACATGTTCATATCTTTAGTCTGCTTTCTAATAGTTTAATGATTTTGTGTAATTAACCGACTCCTCCTATTTCTCTATTATTTCATGTGTAAAATGAATATCAGAACCTTACCGTGTTTTTATAAGAGCTAAATACATTTAAAAGGTTTACTAAAGTCCTAGGTATAAAGCATGCTTTCACTAAATATCATGAGAAGTAAAATAATTATTTATATCTAAAAAAAGTTCTGAAAGATTAACCCCAAATAACATCTGTTACTACTATATATGATTTTAATTTATAAATGTCTCCAAATATAAAAGCAGCTATTAAGATATTATGTTCTGTCTCATTTCAAATGAATTAAGTTTCTGCTGTGTCTTTGGATTCCAGTTGACTTCATGGAACATCCGAATAATGTCACAGAATTTGTTTTCATGGGGCTTTGGGGAAATAAGGGAATCGAACTACTCTTCTTTTTCCTCTTCCTGCTTTGCTACCTGGCAGTCTTAATGGGGAACTTCGTCATTTTACTCACCATCACCTGCAGTCACCTCATCGAGCAGCCCATGTACTACTTTCTGTGCCACCTTTCCCTCATGGACCTGTGCTACACCTCCACTGTGGTTCCCCGGCTTATCAGGGACTTGGCAGCAGCAAGAAAAACCATTTCCTATAACAGCTGCATGACCCAGCTCTTCACAGCCCACTTGCTGGCAGGGGTGGAAACATTCATCTTGGTGTCCATGGCTTTGGACCGCTATGTGGCCATTGTCAAGCCACTGCACTACATGGTCATCATGAACCGGAAGAAGTGTAACCTGCTGGTTGTGGTGGCCTGGGGGGTGGGTTTTTGGCACTCTATTGCTCTGTTGCTCATGGTACTCAGGCTGCCTTTCTGTGGCCCTAATCAGATAGATCACTACATATGTGATGTGAAGCCTCTTTTGAAATTGGTCTGCAAAGATATTCACATTGTGAGTATCTTAGTGATTGCCAATTCAGGGATGGTGGTAGTTGTGATTTTTCTTGTTCTAGTAGCTTCTTATATAATGATTTTATATAACCTTAGGACAAGGTCATCTGCAGGGCGTCGCAAAGCTCTCTCAACCTGTAGCTCTCATGTAATGGTAGTCGTTCTGTTTTTTGTGCCCTGTATTTACACCTATGTGCTACCTGCAGGTAGTGAGAACAAGGACAAGGAAATCTCTGTGTTTTACACTGTGGTTGCCCCTATGCTGAATCCTCTCATCTATACACTCAGAAATTTGGAGATGAAAATTGCCATGCAGAAGGTATGGTCTCGAATGTCACATCGATAGGTAAAGTAAAGAAGGAGACATTCATATGCTTTTCTTTTGTTTCCCCAGGTATGCTATCATTTGAGAGTCATAGATCCTATGAGTGGAATTGTTCCTGAAGTACTGATTTCTCTTTTTATTTAATGATGTGTGTTGTTTTTAAGTGTCTAGATTATCTCCTCCTTTCATTAACAAACATTAATAATAAAATAATTGAGTTCATTTTACACTGACTTTCCTAATTTGAATCATTCCTGTCTCAATAGTCAGTCATGTCAACTTCAAGGAAAAGTCACAGAGGCAGTTGTATGCTTGACTTTAGTACCAGGGTCTCCTTTATTCACTTTTCAAATCTTAGAACTTTTGACATAATTAACTATTTACTTTTTTCCCCTCCTGAATCTATGCAAAACTCTACAGTATCTTGGGAAAATATTATGTCCTTAAAAAATAAGTTGGCTCTGATTAGTTATCTTCACCATACTTTTATTTTAGTTGCCTTATTGTATTATTTTTCCACAGAGTATTTGGATTTTCCTTTCAGTACAGAAACATGGCGTGTGGAACTGAAATTTTGTTGTGTGATGATTGTGTACATGTATTTATGACATGTGGTTCTTGCAGATATTGAGAACATATCAATGAAAGTACACATTCTATCAAGAAGAATACTTGCAATAAAACTAAAACAAAACAAAGCATTGCATTATCACTTGTTTGCTTTTTTCAAATGTTCACAGAGTTTTATTGGATAAATTTTGATAATGTTACATGATTAGACCACAAAAAAAAATTATCGGTTCAATTTTTCTTTAATTGCTTGGTGTTTCTCCTAGAATTCACTTTCCAGCATGTTTACAATGCCTTGTATATTCCAAAATATCTGTCTAGTTAATATGTGGGAGAAACATAAATGTTTTGTCATGCATATGAGAATAAGCATAAATATTCAGCAAATTTTATTGCATGGGAATATCAACCATTACTAAATTTTATTAAATGATTATCTTAAATCACCTGAACCCAATTCACACGAAGAAACATGATACTTGAGAACTATCAGAAATACCAGCATGAAAGTAGGTTAGAAGTCCTGGTTAGGGACTCAACATGGATTAGAAGCCAAAACTAATTTGAGAGGGATTTAGTTTTTATTTGACATCCTCCCTTGACCACATCATCCCTTCATCTTCAGCGAAAGAGGGTTAATAAAGAAGATGAAGAAGAAGTATGTGGTCAAGAGAGGATACTTTCAGGATACTTTCTAGTATCCTTTGTAAGACCTGAGAAAGTCCTGTGGTTTTTGACCACAGTCCTTTATACCTCAAAGCATTTCAGATTTTAAATAGTCATCCTTTCCTATTTACCTTTGTCACTAATTTTCCCAGAGTATTTTGATTTTGCTAAACATGTATTAGAATGATTGCTTTAGCTAAAGTTTCTGAAATGGTCTTATTTTATTTGGAGTTAATGGTATTTTTGATATAAAATGAGCCACAAAAATGGATTGAACTCACAAGGGGAACTTGGCCTACCAGTGGTATATGGCACAAGAGGATGCAGGGTTTCATATAAATTTTGGGCCAGTATATTCTTATCCAGCTCATATTTTCATCCTCCTACCTTCTTTTTAATAGCTTTAATTGTTGAAATCTACCACGCACTAATGAAAAGTATTTTGTTCTTTACAAAATCTTTCAAATATAGAACTAAAGAGGAGTTTTCTGAAATCTTATTGGCTATTAATCTCTGATACTTAAAATAAAATTTTCTGTATATTTGTTAGAATTTCTAAGTAGACAATCAATTCATTGGGTTTAAAGACCTTTTCACTATGTTTTGCTCAATACATGTGACTATGAGTTTATAATGTGAGTTTGAGAAATAAGATCAGTATGTAAATATCAGTTGTATAGTTTGTACTATTAACTAAGAATAAAAAATTGCAGTTTTATTTTTATTTTTTTCCAGATTTTTTTTTCAGATATGATAGATTAAAAAAAAAGTCTATGTTAAAGTTGTATGTGATGGTTTCACTTATATGTACATTGCAAAATGATCACCATAACCAAGTTAAAATCTCATTTATAATTTCATTACCAGTATAAAATATTTAAGGATGACTGTTATTAAATATGCTCATTTTTGTGGTGCTATGGATTGAACCCAGGGCTTCAGGCATGCTGGCAAGAACCCTACCACTAAACTACATTCCCAGCCATTGGTTACAAAATGAGAGCAAGACATGTGTACTGCCAACTGAAAACTTTGTTAAAAGAGAATCTGATGACATGAATAAATAGAAATAGACATGCTCATGAGCCAGACAACATTGTAAAGTTCTAAATTCCCCTCAAATTAATCTCTGGATTGAAGCAATTTCAAATAAAATCTGAATGGGCAGCTTGTCTAATTTTAAAAATTTATAATTTTATATAGAAATGTACAGGAAGAAGATTAGCTTGTACAGCTTACAATAGAATAAATTTGGAGAATTTATATCATAATCTTATATAAAAATACTATTTTCAAAAACATAAAAGTGATAAAAAAGACCTGACAATGAAACTCAGGAGTAGATTTGGACTTACATGATTATTTTTTAGCAAAGTTAAGTCAGGAATTTGGGAAGAAAAAATAGCTTTTGCAACACTGGGTGGTGAAACTAGTAGATGTGTTTGTACTATATACAGAACAAACAAAAAAAACAAAAAAAAATAACTCCTTTGTGCCTCACAGCCAGTAAAAATTTAATTCACGATAGATCTTAGACGTAAAATTTAAAAGTAAAGCATTTAAAATTCTATGTAGAAGATTTTATGATCTTTAAATATACAATTAGTTTTTACATGAAATGACATATGTATGAGCCATTAATAAATTATAAATTGAACTTCATTGAAATTAAAATATTTACAAGAGGAAGTACCTGGCTTTGGTTGAATTCCATATTTGAAGCCTTCAATGAAATTCCGTTCATGTTTCTGGGGGTATCCTGAAGTGTGGGTTTGTAGGCTGAGGAGGTTAGAAGGGAGACAAGAAATCTTCCATGGAGTAGTTGTCAGTGAAGTTTGGTCACCAATGAGCACAATGTTGAAGTTGAAAAACTGTGTAACACAGGGTTTTGAAATATTTTTACTAAAGTACAAAATCATTTACTCAGGAATCCTTAGCTTTCAAAGTCTTGAAGAAAACTCTTCAAAAAAAATCTATTTCATCATTTTTTTCTGATATCTAGCTGTTTCAGCTAGCTCTTAAGCCTCTAGAAGCTTCTATGTTCTCATCTAATAGAGCAAATAATAGTTATGTCGAGTTACAAGTATAGAATAAATGATGAATGTAAAACACCAGTAATCTTTTAAAAAAGTTTTACTATTATTTTGCTAAGTAGTTTAATACCAACAGTATCAGGTATATGCAATTGGATTTTCTGAAGTTTTAAAAGTCTGAGGAATCCTAAAATCTATGGATTTGTCTATGCTGGAAATTACCCACCAACTGAATCAGTGTGTGTGGGTGAGGCGGAGCATCAACAACCATGGATTCTCAGAAGGAAGAACAAGTAGAATATAACTTTGCTGCCCTTTGAGTACCATCTTCCTCTGAATATTCCATATATTCTTCACCTTATGATGGATGGATTCTTTAACTCATGTCCAATGTATGGAAAAAGAAGCTTTATTTATTTATTTTTATTTTTCCTTTTCCTCTTCTTTCATTCCTCAACCATCTATGCCCAAAGTGTTACTCTCTGTCAACATTAATTTAGAACTAGTTGTAATCTTGCAGTTCATTGATTTTATTGACCTATTAACTCTCCACTACTTAGAATCTCAGTAATAGACCATGTCTGAAATATGAACATCTGTCTCTGGTTCTCTTTGTCCATCCTCATCTCACATATTCCTAGAAGGTAACATAATACTATTATAGGCTTTGTCATTTCCCTTTCCATTCCTCAGAAAGCTGGAAGAGCACATACCAGGACTGGTCCTGAGCTGTTCTGTCTGGCTAAAGCATTATGGGACCTCCAGGGAACTAGTACCTGAGCCAGATTAACCCACAGGTGGAAGGAACACACACAGGGGCGCCAGAAACCATTACCATGGACAGGGGCTTGGATGCATTTAACCAAAATTGGTTTGGAAATCTCATGAGACAGTAATATAACTTCTTAGAGCTTTCAAAGACATATTAATTCTTGCTTAACATTTAAATTTATATGTTGCTTTTGGTAAATTAATTTTCTTTAGGCAAAGAGTGCTAGGACTTAAGAATGTACATCAATTTTTGAATGAATTTAAAATACTTTTTGATCATTTATTTAGTCTGTGCTCTTATTAAAATGCTGTTGGATAGAAATTCAGATTTCCTAGCCTGCTTCCCTGATGGATGAATGTGTACTCTTCCTTCGTTACTGAAAATTTTAGCAAATATTTGAGGTCCCTTCCTCTTGGAAACCTTTAAACATTTTAAGATCTGTAACTTTTGGGGGGAGTGACAAACTTGGTAAGTTGAATTACTATATAATTTTCTTAAATGTATTATGTATTTTGATGCTGAGATGCATTGCTCAAGTGAGTATCTTGGGGCTGAACATTTCCTGATCTTCACATAAATCCAAACTGTCAATGAGACCTGATGGTCAGTGTATCACTATGTTGCTCTGGTTGTGGAGAGTACCATCACCCGCTGTGCTGGAGTGAGAATGTGCTTTTGTCATTGATTCTATAAATTTCATTCTGAATATTTGAACACCTTAGTAGCATATGATAATTTTTTACTATAAAAAGTTTTATCATACTTAAAACTTACTGAGTATTATATGTAAGCAGAATTTCAATTAAGAATAAAAGTAAACATTAAGAAAATATAAAGTGGGTTGTGAATTTCATTGTTTCTAAGTCTTGTACTTTCTCCATATTCCCACTAAGAAATTACCCAGTTTAGACTGGCTCAGTGGTGTATAACATCCCAGCTACTCATGGGGCTGAGGCAGGGTGATGGCAAGTTTGAGGTCAGCCTGGGGAACCTAGCAAAACCCTGCTTCAAAATTAAAAGTGAAAGTAAATAAATGAATAAATTTTTAATGTGCAACGAGTGTGGTTTTCCTCTCATCCTATCAGTATGTCGGCATTAATGAT